TGGGTTGTTCGTTATCTAATGAGAAACAAATAAACAGCCAAAAAGTGAAATCAGGTTCTAACTTGGGTATAATTGGGATCCTAAAGAAAAAACGAATCGATGGATTCAGTTGTCAGCACCTGCAGTTTCTCTGGCAGTATTATAAGTCTGTTGGCCTGAATTCCCCGGGCGAGCAATACTTCCACCGGTTCTTAGAGGGGTCGATGGAATACGGTTACAACCCTGCAATGATCCCTCAGAAACTACAGACGATGATAATACCAAGTTTTTGTGTTCTTCCCACTCCTGGTTTTTGCAATACCATACAGATGACAGCCATTGCATTGTTTTTGGCAGATTGGCATTGGCATCAGATGAGGCCCCATATCGGTTAGCAAAAGCTTTTCTAAGATAATCAAAACCATGGGATCCGGTTAAAAGAGGCTTCAAGATTTCTATACGAGCTTTGCTTATCTCTTGCTTGAGCACCTGCAATTGAAGTGCAATTGTTAACTTTTGCGGCTACAATTTGACTTAACGAAACGACTTCAACTTTAGTATCAATCGAACGGGTACGAAGATAAGGGTCTATTCATAATCCCTATTCAAATTGCTTGTTTGACTGATTAAGAGAGTTTGGACGGGAGAAGAGGCTTTGACGACGAAATTAAGGTACAAAGTGGATTTCTTATGGCCCTCCCAGTAAATAATTTTTTTGCTATACGAGAATAAACAATAACCACTTTTATAGAATATCAGCAGGCGCTTGGAAAACGGAAAACTGGTTTGATTCATTCTTCACGTAGGGAAGCATAAAAGGAAAGCGGTCTCTTACCTTCCCTGATTTAAGGCCTTAAGGCGGTAATAGGCTAAGAGAAAGAGATTATGTATCAAATAAAAAACATTTTAATCTCTCCAATCGAAAGAGCTAAGGGAGAAGAAATTAAAAAGCACGGAACGAACCTGAATCTGCTCCAGGACAAATTGCAGACCTCTAATCAAGGCAATCTCGCTTGGATTCTTCGACTTATCTTCAGTATGACGACATATCTCAGTTAACTCTCGAAATAAACTCTCGTAACTAGCCTTCAGCTGACTCTCTTTTGAAGGAGAGGAGAGCTTCTGCAATGTGACTAATGAAAACTCCAAAATCCTCCCAAGGTAGTCCATATCCATGTTCCCTGACTTGAGTATCTTCCAAAGGACAGAAAATGAAAAGAAAAATATAAATCTATACTTGTATATATATATATAAAGATTTCAAAGATAAAAATTTCAGCAGTATCCAAGCATGAGTATGATGATTAATACCTGAGAAAGAAAGTCTATGTCGAAGGCTTCAGTAATCTGCTGTTTCCAGCTCTCTGGAGCCATATTGCAAAGTTCATCCTGGACCTCTCTCACAAGCTGAACCACCCGATCGTAGTTGGGCTCTTCTTGTTTCAAGGATTCCATGACGCCGTCCCAGAAGGCCTTCTGCATCGTTTCTCTCAACTTTACCTGAAAAGGACGAACGGATAAGGTGAACACGTTTTAAGAGAAAAATAACCAGATACTGTTTCGATAAAAACTGAACACGTTAGAGAAGATTTGCATATCTTAGATATAACCAGATAAAGACGATAAAAACTGATTTCTAAAGATACAAAAATCAGAAAAAACGTGCGAACCTGGATACTGTTTCGATCTTCTTCGATCATGTCCAAACTGTCAGAAAATGGATGTTGCTGGTGGAGAAACTCATTTACTAAAAGTTCATTTTCAGTGGTCAAGTCTCCAATAGACCTTAACTGACCTTCAGGAATGCTTCTACTAGATTCAGATAATTCATTTGGTTTAGCCATCATTTGATCTTCCCTGAACAAAGAACGGACTACATGAGCTGGCCTCTTGACATACTTGTCCTCATTGCTCCCGGCATCTGATCTTGAAACGGAAGGACCGTCTGAGTTGGATATAGGTGAAGATATAAACTGTGTAACTGGTGAACTCAGAGGGCTTCCATTTTCTTTAGACTGAAAGTACTTAAATCGTGTTTCAGATAAAGCTTTTTCCATACGCTCAATCCCAGCATCTCCATTAAGGTTTTGAACCTTTTCTCTTAAAAGTTTCTGATCATCAGAGACCTGTTTGACAAATACCCGTTAGAATATACAATTCCTAGATGTGCAGTCAAAACTACAATTACCTGACGTTTAACAATGTTAGAATATACAAATCCTTGTCAATTTTTAAATGTAAACTTCCAATAAAGAAGACAAGCTTAACCTGCTTCTGGATGGCTTTCATATCATGCGTAAGAGCATTATCTCCTCCATCTGATAACTTGCAAGTTTGGAGCATAGACAATTCGAGATGACAAGCAGCTCTCACCAAATCCTCTTCTAATGCTCGTGCATCCTTCACCTTCCACGCTACGAAGCAATTCAGGTAAGAACACCATGCTTTATCGAATGCAGCAAGCTGAGATCTGAAGGACCACTGTTTTGGTGAAGATTCTGATTCATCATCTGAACTCTGAATTGGCCCTTCCAAAATAATCTTTATCAATAGTTCAAACTCATTGACAAACTCTTTTGCAGTCTTGGCCAGAGCAATCTCACGTTCTCCCTGACTACTAAGAACAGCATCAGGATGACCCAGTATCATATAAGCACAAAGGACCACTCTAACTGGATATCTGGATGGTTTAGCAATACTTTTAGGCACCTCCCTAATAACAACTTTACTTGTATTTCTGCTCCTTGAAGAAGAACTTGGACTAGACCTCCTTTTAGGAGAAGCAACTCGCATGAGGAGGTGATCAATATTTTCAAAATTAGATGGATAAATTGTAGCAGCAACAGCCTTAGCAACTTTCAAGCGGCTTTCAAGCCGATCAAGTAATGCTTTAACAGTTTGGAGAGTAGAACTTGATTCAATCAGAACAGCAAACTGCTCAAAAGGCATTGACTTGACAGATTTTCCATTAATTTTTAAGGAATTGTATGCTTCAGTCAATGTTAAAGTAGTCCTCCTCAATTTAAGAAATCTCCTCCAGCACCTAAAGGAGAAAAATACAGTTTCATTTCAAGGGAATATATTTCTTAATTCATCAATAGAACCATATTTAAAGGCATATGCAGTATGATTATTAGTCTCTATTAAGGATGGAAAAGGAAATGTTCCACTCTCTGAGATTCAGCAGGCAAAACTAAGAGACATGATGCTGATTTAACCTCAGATTAAGACTAGCAAGAACTATCCCCAAATCTCCAATCCCCAAGCAAAGGGGCAAAGAACAATAGTAATGATACTAAATAAGAAGTATTGAGGATAACATATATCAACCTGTAATAGAAAGAATGTAGAAGCAGATAATATTTTATCGTATCAAGTTTATATAGAACCCAAACCATAAAGTAATCAAATTATACAAGGGTTCTATCTTTAGAAGCAGAGACGGGAAAGCATGGTCAATCATCCTCAAAGAAATTTAAATTTAGCATGAAGACATAAAGTTTATCTTACAGCATAAATAGAAATATGAAAGCGAAGTAACAGTAGAAAAACATTTCGGATAATTAATTCATACTTGAATCTTGAAAGCAGGGAAGAGTTAAAATACCTTGCTAATTTTCGGGATAGGATTTCAGCCTGTTTGTGCATCCTAATTCTAGTCACAAGAGTAGCTATATTTGGCCTTACTCTCTGCCTCAAGAATTCTGCTCTCTTTCTCTTTGCCTAACGATCCACCAAACATCACAAGGATGAGAATGATACTTGACAAACCCAAGAAATGTGATCAGAACTAAATCAGTGGGAAAAAGCAGAATCCACTGTGACTAACTATTTTACTTCCAAATGAAATCTCATGATCTACCAAAACATAGAAAGAATGAGAATGATACTCATAAATCCAAGGCATGCGACTGGCTATTGTAATTCCAATTGAAATAAACATGCATACCCTTTGCATTCGATCTTCCAACTTATCCCTCATTTCCCTCCTCTCAAGCTCACGCTGTTGAGATACAGACTTAGCCACATGTTGAGCCTGCAACACTCGAGCTCGTGCCCTTTTTATCTCTGCTTCCAACAAACTCAGCCGTTTTTTCTCAGCAGCTGCACGTTTCTGAGAAATTGCAGCACGCACTCGCTCCTTGTACTTATTTTCCCAAGCCATCTTTCTTACCAATGACATAGATGACCTTTCCATCAGTGAGGCCCTCCGTTGCCTGTAAGCCTTCAGCATAAGCATTCTATTGGCCTCAGCTTGTTGCGCCCGAGTTGCAACTTCTTTCCCAAGCTTCTGACGCTCTTCCTCTTTACGTATCTCCACAACAGTTTTAGCAACTTGTCGTACCTCATCCAACAAAGAAAGACGCTTCTGAGAATGAGCCAATATGCTCAACCTGTCATATTAAGATCACCAACTTAGTTTGAAAAGCCTACAGTGTATGATGCATCAGCATTATCACTCTAGAAGAAATAATATTATGGAGACCACAATTAAAACCATGGAAGTTGTCATCAATGGATAAATAAATATCACAAAGATTCCCAGGATTAACACAGAAAAAGAATCTTTCAATTATCGCGGCCAGTTCCTTCTGAATTCTGAAACTTGACAGTCGTAAAGCATCCATTAAATAATAAATAATTGATCCTTACACGAAAAAGAGGGAAAGAAGGGACAAGTTCAGTAGTTAAGGAGACAGAATAAAAGGAGTGTTTGAGCGAGACCGAGTGAAAGAGTGTTTGAAGGAGAAGAGAAAGAAGAGCCACAGAATTCAGAAGAAGAGCCACAGAATATACGGTTTTCATATGATGATCTCAGATATATGGATTGCCAATGACTTTTCCATTAAGCACAAGTACTAATAAAATTCTGAGAAAAAATTATTAGTTCACCTCTTCTGCTCTGCAGCCAGGAGTTTTGCTTCAAGCCGCTGTCCAAGGTTTCCCTCCTGAGAAGAAAAATGTGAGGGATTTTTCGGCTTCGGTCGAGCCTTGCTGGACAACTTCTCATAGTGTTGCTGCACTCAATAAATAAAGAAGAATTAACAAAAGCAGTTGGTCTAAAGTTTCCCACCAAAAGTACAAAGCACCCTGCCTCTTGTATCACCCCCACCCCCCGGAAAAAGGAAAAGGGAAGAAAAGGAATCGGTATAATTAATTGAGTAAAGAAGACAAGTATTGAAAATCAAACGTAAAATGGAAATAAGACTCTGACAATAAAAAAATATGATTAGCGAAAACAAGACAAACACATAATTGCTGTGCATTCTTTCTTCTGCTATACCGTTGTCAAATTCCCTCCAGCCAGCAGTTTCAAGGGAAACCGAAGCAGATTAATCAACAACAAGAAAATTTCCTTCTAAACACACAGGACAAAGAAAACATAACTTCATTTTCGAAAGAAGAAAAAAGGAAAAGCGGAAGTCAGAAGAAAGCTTATGTGAGAGAAAGGAACCGACCGAACCACCCCAAAAAGGGGAAGGAACCAACCATTCCTACCGACCGTCCAAAACCAAAGAATGAAGAAAAAAAAGTACCACTAAAACTCCAGATATGGGGAGAAGAAATTAGGAAACAAAATAGGGGCAATTGATGAGAAAAGAATTAGAAAGAATCATTGGAAACTCCGATCATAGGACTGAAGGAGAGCCATGATGAAGTCTTCTAAGATAATATTTCAGAACTAAATTACACAACAGATTAAGAGGAAAAACGGATAAAAGTTGAAATCGAAAAAAAAAACACCCAAATTAAACATGAAAGCGAACTGTTCAAGATACCAATAAAAAAAAAAGGTAAAATATACCAATGAAAGTCACTCTTATTAAGTTAACGTAAAAAGAAAACAAAATCCTTGATTAGTGCGACGTTAAAGAACAAAAGTCCCAACCACTCAATATCAATCGGCAAGATGAAACGGAAGAAACACTTGAATTTAGAATCCAGGCAATAAACAACAAACTAAAAAATCCAGCACGTCCAGTACGCAAAAACCAAAGGAAAAGAAAGAAACAAGAAAGAACAATTTGAAAGAGCAGGAATAGATTAAAGACCTGACGACGAAGATCAGCATGACGAAGCTTAGCCTCAATTTCCTCCACAGTACTGGGAGACTTACACTCCACAAGAAGTCTCTGACGAAGCCGCTTCGGAATTCTCGGTGGTGGAGAAGAAGAAGAAGAAGAAGAAGAAGAAGAAGAAGAAGAAGAAGAAGAAGAAGAAGAAGAGGAAGGAAGGAGACCATCACCGGACGAAAGGTCCACCAATATCCCCATCCCGCCTCTCTCCGTCTGAAAAGGCGTATCAACTCCTGCTTCCATGAACAGCAACGATGATAAGAATCAGAAGAATCAGGAAGGCGGCGGCGGCGGCGGAGAGGAGGCCGATCAGAATCAGGAGAGGACGAGAATTTTGCAGTAGGAAGGAAAAAAAAGAAGAAAAATGGGGAAGCGGAATTGGGATTGCGAATCAGGGAAGCGTGTGTGTTTTTTATTTATTTATATATATATATATATATATATTTTTTTTTTTTTTTAATTTAGTTTTATATATATACGAATAAAGAGTCGTCTTTGTTGAGGAGTGTCAACTTTTCCAACCTGGGCCTTCCATTTCACGCCACGTCACCCCCTGACCCCAACGGTAATCTTTTTTATATTCTCTTAACCCCAAACCCATTTGTATCAATTTTGACTTTCTCATTTCTTCCGCCCACCGTTAGTAGATATTGTTCAAGCCCTTGTAACAGTCTAAGTCCATCGCTAGCAGATATTGTCCATTTTGACCCATTACGTATCCCCGTCGGTCTCTATTAGAGAGAGGTTTCTACCTCCTTTATAAGGAATGTTTCGTTCTCCTCTCTAACTGACCTAGGATCTCACAATCCACCCCTTCTTATGGGCTCAACATTCTCGTCTTAGATATTGTCTGATTTAACCTGTTACGTATCGCTGTTAGCCTCACGGTTTAAACACATGTTTGTTAGGGAGAGATTTCCATACCTTTATAAGAAATGTTTCGTTCCCCTCTCCAACTAATGTAGGATCTCGCAATCCACCCTCCTTGGGGGCTCAACATTCTCGTTCGCATATCGCTTAGTGTCTGTTCTAACCCGTTACGTATCTCTGTTAGCCTCACGATTTTAACCCATTACATATCGCTGTTAGCCTCACGGTTTAAACACATGTCTGTTAGAGAGAGGTTTCCATACCATTATAAAAAATGTTTCGTTCTCCTCTCCAACAACTGATACAAGAAGTCACGACCCTATTTAATCTATTGAGGTGGGACCATGCATGAAGTCAAACAGCTCCAAACCAAGCAAGAAATCTCCTTACAAAACAAAGAATATGGGAGAAAGTCAAGAGAGATTACCCCAACATGACAAATATTATATTCCCATTTTTATTTTTTTTATTATAAAATATTATTGTAATTATAATGATATTTTATATTCCTTAATATTGAATTCAAAATTCAAAATTCAAAATTTTTATATTTGTTAAATAATAAAAAATAATCATAAAATTAAATAAAATAAATATACGTATATATAATTTATCTTAAACAAAAATATATTTTTTAAAATTAATAATAAATTCAATTAATTTAAATTTTTAATTATTTGAATCTAACTCAATCTGTTTTTTAAACAGCCTTAAAAAAATTATTAATTCGAGAATATGAACATTACAAATACGCTCCTTCCGTTTTATAGTAATAACTAATAATGATAATTAAGTTATTATTATATTTTCTTCTTGAAAATATATTCAACAAACGTTTATTTGATTTAAAATTTTAATAAGTTATAAATAATTTTATAATTTAGAAATGAATATATTTTTATTTTTATTTTTATTTTTTAAAAAAAGATTGTGAAGTTAAAAGAACAAACATCCAGCCTTCTCTCACTCACTCCCCATGTGCTATCATTCTTGTCAATCCTTCCCATTTCCTTGAATTTCGCTTCATATTATAAAGTTTCATACTTTAATATTCCATCCAAAGTCAACAATATGACTTATCGCCCAATTAATAGTCTAGCCATTCGATCGAGCGGGATCACCTATGTTAGCCCATGCTTTCGTACGCCATAAGTGGATCTCGTGATGAGTTTTAGTTACATATATGTTCTAAAGTCTCGTAATTAATTATTTAATTTTGTGTTATTTATTTTATGAAAAATTCAAGGTTTTTAGTGTAATCTTGGACAGAGGAGTATGTTCCGGTAATAACCTAAAGGGTCTATAGCACTATTGATACAGTTCACTTTGTTATTGCGGCAAACAATTTGTTTCAAATGGTTCGTGTGTAGACATGTGAGTGAGAATATCGTATACAGTGAGTTTGTAAAAAATTGAACCACAAAATATTTAATTTTTTTTAATAAATTTGTTAATTGAGAAGATCAATATTTCACAAGATAATCATATGCAACTCGATTTTAGTCTTACGCTTGTCCTTTGATTTTCTAGGGTGAAAATCAATATGCTTACCATTTTAGGGACTTGACGAGCTACAAACATAATCTTACAAGATAAAAATCACTCAATCTTATATAGGATAAGTAGATATGCTTACCATTTTAGGCACGGGAGAAGATCAATATGCTTACCATTTTGGTACAAGTCTTAACCTTATGCACGGGTCAGTAAATCAAATATTTTTGTTGTGTGAGACTGTCATTGTATTTAACAATTTGACTTCATATGTTCAAGATGAACATCATCTTCATACACATAGTTCTACATACATTACTTTTTACACACAAAATCCATCCGGCTCTACTAATTTTGTACTCTTTAAGCTTGTCATATACTCGTCAATTTCATAAATAAACACTATAGATTTCATACACACCGACCCACACTCAAGACTTCAATGATTATGACTGTTAGACGAACACGACTCTCCACAATGGTATGATATTGTCCACTATGAGCATAAGTTCTTATGGCTTTGCTTTGAGCTTCTCTAAAAGGTCTCGTCTCCAGATATAGTATTCCTTGCTTATAAACCCATGATCATTCCCTAAATTAGCCAATGTGGGACTTTCATCCAACACCTCCCCTCGAACAAAGTACGTCTCCCTTTAATCGAAACTCGACTCGTTTTCTTTCGGAGTCTTAGTCATTTTTTACTATGCCTTCGAGGAGCCTCGACTCCTTTTCTTTTTGGAGTCCTTTGTTCAACATTTGAGGATTCTATTGACATGACTAAGTTTTAGGGCATGACTCTGATACCATATTAGATGAACACGACTCTCCACAATGGTATGATATTAAAGGTCTCACAACAATAGAGAACGTGAAGTTTTGATAGATAAGGAATTAGTGAGTGGAGAGTCTTAGTCTTAGTCATTGTGAGAGTCATGTTCGTCTAACAATGACAACCTTAAACGAGTCTTAGAAAAGCAAAAAAACATGAATATGTCATTTTTCATGCCAACATAAATCATAATCCGAGAGAGAACATTACAATGGAGATAGTCATAACGAAAAATCAATCATGGAATAGAATTGAAGTGGCTTTTCAATCATTTGTTTTTTTTTTTTTTTTTGTCTCCCATTCGAAATAGTCATCGTTGTTCCTATTGCCCACTAACCACCCCACTTGTCTCATGCCCACATTAATGAATGAATAGATTTGTACAAAAAGGGTAAAGAGGCCTAAGTACAAAATCGAGGGAGAACGGGTCAAACCCAGACCAATACTCGAAGTCTTCGAGCCTTCAAAGAAAGTTTTGGTCGCTTCCTAATCTCCAAGAGTTTTCAAGTTTTGAAGTCTTCTGATCTTCAAAGAATCTTCGATTCTAAGAATTTCGGAGCATCTAGAGTCTTCATGAGTTTCATAGAGTTTTACGATCTTCTGTTTATAGAACTTTTCATGATATACCGTGGCCTTAGAGTTTAATAACTTCTCCATGATTTTGAGCATAACCATTTTGAATTTGTTATTGATTTAGAAATAAAGACGTGACAATTTATGATTGGTCAAACATATTCATTCAATCATACATTATATATTGAATAGAAGCAACATGAAAATGGCATTGTCACAGGGAATAGGGAATAGTCAACACATTCATTATTCTAATTCCAAATTTGTGACGTCCCACGTTGGTTGGGGAGGAGAACAAAATACAATTTATAAGGGTGTGGAAACCTTCCCCTAGCAGACGCGTTTTAAAGCCTTGAGGGTAAGTCCGAAAGGAAAAGTTCAATGAGGACAAAATCTACTAGTGGTAGGTCTAGGTCGTTACAAATGGTATCAGAGCCAGCACCGGACGATGTGCCAGCTTTCTTGCTGTTCCCTGAAGGGGGTAGACATGAGGAGACGATATGCTAGCTTTCTTGCTGTTCTCTGAAGGGGGTAGACATAAGGAGACGATGTGCCAGCTTTCTCGTTGTTCCCTGAAAGGGGTAGACATGAGGAGATGTGCCAGTAAGGACGTTGGGCCCCGAAAGAGGGTAGATTTGGAGGGCGGTCCCACATCGATTGGAGGAAGGAAAGAGTGTCAGCGAGAACACTGGGTCTTGAAGGGAGTGGATTGTCTCGAGGTTGGATTGTGATGTCCCACATCTCTTAATTATGATATGTTTGATTGTCCATTAGCCCCTAATTATCACATTTTGGGTATCTTTCTTTGTGATTTGATGTTTTCCTAATTTTTTTGATGCACATCTTTCTCTAATTTACTTTTTGCTCGTGGCTACAAATGTTAGATAATATCATTATTTTAATCAAAATCATTATATCCAATTGCTTAACCTATAAATGGACGCTACTAATTTCAACCAAAAATAATATCTAATTTACTTGTAACATTATATGTGGAAAAATTAAAAATTTTAAAAACATCAATTATCAATATTGTAATAGTGAAGGAAACTCCTAAGTTACAACCAAAAGTTATAGCGTTTATGAAAAAGACGAGGCCTAGGAAAATTAAAAGTGTTCATATGACCTGAAAGTTCGACTTACCTAGACTATCCAATCGAAATCATGAAGGTTGGGTTAGGTTGAATTTTTGGAAAATAA